CGTAGCTGTTGTAGCAGAGGCAGTGGCAGAAGCAGAACTTGACAGGCTTTCTGGCGCAGTGGTAGGCATAACCTGCAGCTGATGGAAATACACACACACACACACACACACACACGCACGCACACACACACACACACACACACACACGCACACACACGCACGCACACACACACACACACACACACATTATGAGAGTGAGTGCACATGCAGACAGGCACGCATACATTCACACACACGAACCAAAAAAAACATCAACTTCAGCAGTTGGTCGTACATCAATCTCTTTCAAGCCAAGCTACAGAATAGTTCAGTACACTACGGTCAAGCCCGCCATAGGAGGGCTTGAAAGTGATGACATAAAAACGGCCAGGGAGTAGTAAGTTCACATCATAACTAGTTAACTAGTTGTATACACGAGTAGTTGGGTACCTGTGCTACTTGTGACCACCTCGGGTAGACGGATACGGAATAATACCCGAAGTCGCAGATGGCATCATGTACAGTGCAAGTGCACAAATTCATGTAACACTCTGCATGTCTACCCAGTGTGTAAGGAAAGCATTGTGGTGTTACAATTGAAACATTACCCGATCGAGTACCCGTGCAATCCGTGGAAAACTACCCGAAACCCGATACCGGAAGAAAATGCTACCCGACTCAGCTCTAATAGCAACCCACTCATGTCTTATGCAGGTGTGACTTTTTCTTCGCCACCAGTTGTCACCCCATCCTCATCAGCCAACCCAGGAAATTTTACCGGCTATATCACCTTGCTGTGAGTAAGACTGCTTGAAATGTGCTTAGATCAATACAAAAACTGGATCCATGAGGATCCAGTTTTTGAATTTTTGAAATTGTTGCTATGCTGCGACGTAGCACTTTTAAGCCCTATTATAAGCCTGATTGCAGGCACAGATTGCAGTTGTCTGATGTCCTAATCTTCCAAAATAAGCAATGTTATAGCGAAAACAAAAATGAAAGGGAGGAGGGGTGCGCAGATCATCTGACCCACAATTTGGTGAGTTTTTCCGCCATCTTGCGCCTCCATTCTCTGCTGTGCTAAAACAGTATGTGTAATTATAATGCATATAAAAAGGTGGCGATCGCACTCTGAAGGTTGGAGCATTCTCTCTGAAAGGGGGCAGCCAAAACGTGAAAGAGGGCGTAGTGCCGCGCTATGTGGCTTTATCGAGAACCCTGAGAAGTCCAGCATGCCCTCATGTTTGGGTTGGTGTCCACTGTACAAACTTCATCATCCACCAAAACGCGAGCTCCGGTGTGGGATCATCCAACTTTTCTACAATTAACGCCAAAGTCGTTTCCACTATCTGGTGTAGTAATGCTTAGCAAAGCCTTCGGACTGGCTGGTTTGTGGGCAAAAGCATTGCGAATGACAATGTATCTATCCATGAACAACACTGACTGACATTGCTATCCAATATTCATGAGGTGCTTGTTGCACTAGAAACTATGCACCAAACTACACCAAACTGTCACAGTGAGGGAATGAGGCACAATCTTGGATAAAAGAAGAGCCATATTTGGGCAAAATAATAGCAAATCTGGCCTCATGCGGATATTTTGGTCGTTAAACGACATTCAATGCTAATGTTCGATTACTTTAGCTGTGTTCACAACTGGCGCGTGTACGTGTGAAACCACTCGTTCGTGCGTATTTTGCTGGCTTTTGGAAACACGCTGAAATGGAAATCTCAACATGCTGGAATTTTCAGCGCGTATCAGGGGCGTACCAGCGTACATGCCAGTCACATTGAGTGGCGGGGTCAAGAATTAGTACTCGAAGGTGTCGCACACGCTAAATACGACTCCGTCCACGCGTCAGTTGTGAACACAGCTTTACAATACCGTAAAATTCCGTTAATGAGCCCCGGGCGTATACTTTGCAGAGTGTCAAAAACCGGGCGTATGTTTGGGCATGGGCTTATTTTAGGGCATGGGCGTCATTTCGGACGCAATCTGAAGGAGATCAATCAATCAACAACTCATTGCTGAAACTTCTACCTGGCACTCAAGACCACTACAGAAATGTGAAAACAAAAAGCTGCCAGGAGTCAAAACGGAGGGAAGCGCTTCCTCCTCACGCGTCACTACCAGCCACTACGTCCAGGTAAGCGAGACATGTTTTGCTACATTTTTTGGCAGTTTGCTACATTCCAACGGAACATCGCTGTCCTCGCGCGCCATGACAGTGTTGAGTTCTGCACTGTGCTGAGTGCAGTTGGATGGCATGCACTCGATCTTCAACTGTTTTACAGTTTGTACGCGAACGCACGTTCGCTCGCTGGTCATTTTGAGTCCACTTTACGCCCTAGGCTTATTCAGGGCATGGGCGCTAAAACGGACTTGAAGTGTACACCGCTTAAAACTGGGCTTATTATCGGACTTGGACGTTATTTAGGGTGGGCTTATTATCGGACATGGGCGTTATTTAGGGTGGGCTTATTATCGGACATGGGCGTTATTTAGGGTGGGCTTATTTACGGAATTTTACGCTATACATGTAGGTTATGGCATTTAACTTACTCTCGTTGCTGTACGAGAAGCAGGGGCAAGGGCAAGGGCAGTGGCAGAAGCTGAACTTGAGCGGCTGCCTTGTGCAGCAATGGGACTAGAGACAGGTACCTGCTGTTTATCACACCGGCAGAGACACACACACACACGCACATGCACACACATACACACACACACACACACACACAAACAAAAAGTACATTCGCATGATTATACAAGTAAATAATACAAAACATGCTGGATATAATATGTGAAGAAGAGGTTGGTGCGACTTCGGCGTTAGTAGGGGAAGAGTGTGTTGCTCCCTACATGGGAGCTCGCGGTTTTCCTGCCGACTTGAATTCTCACTTGACTGACTCACGACTGCCATCCTGAGCACGCGAGAGGTCCATTGAACCATCCACTCGGCAGACCTGCAAGAAAGCACCACTCCTTGCTCAATACACAGTGTTTTGGGGAATTCACCCCTCATCAGTTGAGCTTGAGTAGGCTCAGGAAGATTGGGCCTCAAGAGCACCACTTATACAGTGCTCTCCAGGCATAAACATCACCAGGGATACAAATTTACAGAGACGCTCCGTTTCCAGGGCGACAAACATCTCGTGAACACCAGATAGCAGCGTGAGTCAGTGTCGCTCATGGAGGTGCTGAACAAGCGCTGAGGACCGTTGGCCATTCACAACGTTGTTGCCTCCAAACCATCTAATTCGCAAGCCCGTGCTGGGGACAACAATGTGAAGAAGAGGTTGGTGCGACTTCGGGGAATAGTAGGGGAAGATTGTGTTGTTCCCTGCATGGGAGCTCGCGGTTTTCCTGCCTACTTGAATTCTAACACATTCTCACGACTGCCATCCAGAGCGCTTTGAGAAGGGAGTGGAATCGTAGAAGATTTGTCAGAAACTTGTGTGACAACGGAGTTCACATCAGGTGATTTTGGCCCTGATTTTGAAGCATTTTCTCGTATTGATTCCATGGTCAGCCAGGAAATTGTCCTTTCCTTCCCGTTTTGTGCAGTAGGACGGTTGCATTCCCGTTTCTGGCAATCATATTGGTCGCGGTCAATCAGCGTCATGAGTGTCCTGTCGCTTCTAACGGCGTGTTACGTCGCGCCCTTTCGAATGTGAACTAGTCTTTAGCACCCGCCATGTGACCCCTCAACCTGATTGCAGGTAGTAAAATTCATAATGCCCTCCCTGACATGCACCACCCTATAATTATACCAATACAACTTTCACATAACCGGGTATCCTCTAGAATCCAGTCCGACATGCGGTCACTATCGGGTATCAAACTTTTACTTCCTCCGTTAAGCAAAACTTCGTTGCGTTTTTACAGTTCTGTCCAAATCATTCTATGGCTACGAACACGCTTTGCAAAGTGGAAAACAAGGCAGCATATGAAAGATATATATTAACAGATGTCACACAGCTCGTTTCAAAGCAGTCCAGCTTCACTCTTCGTCTGAATCTGATGACGACTCACTCCCTGATGACATCGAGTCTGCATCCTCGCTGACTGTAGCCGCCAGCGCTGCCAGCTTTTGTTACGCAGCCTTTACAAGTTTCCAAGACACGATTATTTTGATCGTGGAGATCGCCAAGTTCTTCGCTCGAACTGTGACCTTGACGACCTCCACGGTGGCGCTGATAGTTGTGGCCACTCTCGGGACCGCCATGGAAGGAGCCATACAGACCCAAACAAACGCTCGCCATTTTTGCAGCGGTGTGTCGTGCCAGCACGTTTCCACACCCTGCAGAAGCTCCTTTCTGGTTTCCTTCGCCACGAGTGACTCGTCTGTCTACAGGCTGTGGAAGATCGCCAAGTCGTCGACGTTGAGATCAGGATTTTGCGCCGACTGAACGACAACCTGAATGTCGAACGCTTTTGATTTTCCCTGCGCTGTAAGCACAAGTGCATTGATTTTGGTTGTGTGCGGATGCGCACCATCGACTCGTGCTAGTACTCGTACAGCAGTGCCTGAGTGCTCGCCGGCTCCTGGACACTTCTTCGAGCCACGGGATCTTTCAAACTGTTTCTCATTTTCGCACTTTGGTGTAATGCGCGCGCGCCTGGGGTTGTGTTCTGGTGACATCCTGTCGAGAAACGGTTCTGCTTCGCCGATTTTTCAAAGGACTCCACGCTTTTCAGAGGTTCAAAAGCCTGTCAGAACAATGGAGGACAACTCAGCTACTCTATGTCGGGGATAGATCACTGACATGTATGTCTAATGCCCACAGAAATACCATAGCAAGAACACTAAAAACGCAACGAAGTTTTGCTTAACGGAGGAAGTAAGTGAACATATTATATCCGAAGAGTATGTTGCTCCCTACATGGGAGCTCGCGGGTTTCCTGCCACTTGAATTCTCACTTGACTGACTCACGACTGTCATCCAGAGCACACGAGAAGTCTATCGAACCGTCTACTCGGCAAACCTGCAAGAAAGCACCACTACCTGCAATCAGGTAGAGGGGTGACATGGCGGGTGCTAAAGACTAGTTCACATTGGAAAGGGCGCGACGTAACACGCCGTTAGAGGGGCAGGACACTCAGTTGTCGCCTGCTGGCGCGGTGACCAGGTGATTTGGGCACCCAGGAGCACGTGACCGCTTGTTCAACCATGTTCGATTGGGAATAAAGGAGGAACGCTGTATCGCAGCCATTTCGGACCAAAACCAGTCGACTCAGCGTCCAAAAGACTACAACATATGGGCCAATCGCGGTCATCCGTGCTTTTATAAGACCGACATAGCACTTTTAGTGAGATTTTGCTTACAAATCCCCATCTAGTAGGGCGCAGTCACCCAGGTTCGGTGGAAGTGCGCGGGTTCGATTGGGAAAAAAGAAGGAAGGGAGAGTCGCAGCTTCCTCGGACCAAGACTATTCGACTCCGCACCCAGAAGACTATAACTGGTGAAAATTTGATTTTAGGGTATACTTCCCCTTTAAGGACTACAATCATACGATAGGATTTATTGCAAAATCGAATGACGAATTGCGAATTACAATGTATCTATCCATGAACAACACTGACTGACATTGCTATCTAATATTCATGAGGTGCTTGTTGCACTGGAAACTATGCACCAAACTGCACCAAACCGTCACAGTGGCTCAATAAGACACAATCTGGGATAAAAAGGAGCCCAATTTGGGCAAAATAGCATATTTGTCCTTGTGCGGATATCTTGTTCGCTACCGACATTGACTCTGTTGGATATCGTACAACAGAGGTATGTCGTTTAACTTACTCTAGTTACTGCAGGAGAGCCAGTCACGGCAGGGGCAGTGGCTGTAGCTGAACTTGACTGGCTGTCTTGTGCAGCAATAAGACTAGAAACAGGTACCTGCAGTTTATCACGCCGGCACAGACACACCGACACACACACACGCACACACACACACACACTCACACACACACACACACACACACACACACACACACACACACACACAGACAGACAAACAAATGGTTTGTTACCTTAGAAGTTTTATACCTTTACAGTGACTGGATATTATACTGGATTCTAGAGGATACCGGGTTATGTGAAAGCTGTAGCGGTATAATTATAGGGTGGTGCATGTCAGGGAGGGCATTTTGAATTTTTTACTTTTTAACTGGCAATGAGGGTGAAGGCTTACATCGGGGATGCTAGAGTCTAGTTCACATTCGACGAGGCGCAACGTACCACGCCTTTAGTAGCGATTGGACAATCATGACGCTGATTGACGGCGTCCAATGTGATTGTCAGAAACGAGAATGCAACCGTGCTACCGTACAAACCGGGAAGTGTAGTACAACTTCCCGGCTGACATGGAATCATACGAGAAAAATCATCAAGATCAGGACGAAAATCATCTGCTGTGAAATCCGTTGCCACACAGGATTCGGGCAAATCTGCTACGATTTTCTTATGATACGATTTTTCGACCAAGAATCGGAGGGTCGATATTTGACCCAAAGGTGGGCTGACTTTTAGTGCTTTCACATGTTGGAGCGGGCCTCCAACAAGGAATATCACCATGACAGCAGAGAGAGTCGGTGCAGATTGTGAAGTAGCCCTTTCATGCTGTTGACCCTGTAGCTTGTGTATATACAAACGATCACATCTCCACTCTGACATCTACCACTCTCTAGTTTGCTATTGCCTACAGTGTGTGGGTGCATAGCAACTAGTGCTGTGCATGGATAGTCGGGTACCCGAGCTACCAGTGAGGACCTCGGGTAGACGGACATAGAATAGTACCCGAAACCCGAAGTCGCAGATGACATCATGTACAACGTAAGTGTACAAATTCATATAATACTCCGCATGTCTACCCAGTGTGTAAGGGAAGGGGTGCATTGTGGTGTTACAATGGGAGCATTACCCGATCGGGTACCCGTGCTACCCGTGGAAAACTACCCAAACCCGATACCCGAAGAAAATGCTACCCGACTCAGCCCTAATAGCAACCCACTCATGTCTTATGCAGGTGTGACTTTTTCTTCGCCACCAGTTGTCACCCCATCCTCATCAGCCAACCCAGGAAATTTTACCGGCTATATCACCTTGCTGTGAGTAAGACTTCTTGAAATGGGCTTAGATCCATCCATATTGCTGTTTTTTTGTGAAAGCCTGATTGCGCCTTTGGGCACGCATGAACCACAAGCGTACCACGTCCACGCGCCAGTTGTGAACACAGCTTAACAATTTAGGTAATGTGGTTCAACTTACTGTCGTTGCTGTAGGAGAGGCAGGGGCAGGGGTAGGGGCAGAAGCTGAACTTGAGCGGCTGTCTTGTGCAGCAATGGGACTAGAAACAGGTACCTGCAGTTTATCACACCGGCACAGACACACACACACACACACACACTCTCACACAAACACACCCCGGCACACACACACACACACACACACACACACACACACACACACACACACACACACACACACACACACACACACACACACACATACACATACATGCACACAAACACGCGCACACACAAAAAAAAAGTTCATTCGCATGATTACACAATTGAACACCACATCAACATGCTGGATATAATATGTTCACTTAAAAGTTTGATACCCGACAGTGACCGGATATCAGACTGGATTCTAGAGGATACCCGGTTATGTGAAAGTTGTATTGGTATAATTATAGGGTGGTGCATGTCAGGGGGGGCATTATGAATTTTACTACCTGCAATCAGGTTGAGGGGTGACATGGCGGATGCTAAAGACTAGTTCACATTCGAAAGGGCGCGACGTAACACGCCGTTAGAAGCGACAGGACACTCATGACGCTGATTGACGGCGACCAACATGATTGCCAGAAACGGGAACGCAAGCGTCCTACTGCGGGAAGGATAGGACAATTTCCCGGCTGGCATGGAATCCTAGGAGCAAATGCATGAAAATCAGGGCGAAAATCACCTGGTGTGAACTCCGTTGTCGCACAAGATTCTGACAAATATTCTACGATTTCTTATCATATGATTTTTCGGCCAAGTATCGCAGGGTCGATATTTTACCCAAAGGTTTGCTGATATTTAGTGCTTTCACGTGCTGGAGCGGGCCTCCAACAAGGAGCGGGCCTCCAACAAGGAATTTCCCCATGACAGCAGAGAGTGTCGGTGCAGACTGTGAACTAGCCCTTTCATGCTTTTGACCCTGCAGCTTGTGTATATAGAAACGATCACATCTCCGCTCCGGCATCTACCACTCTCTAGTGTGGCTGTGCACAATTTGTATGTGTGTGCACAGAGCGGTGTAGAAGTGAAATAGCTCAATGTTTTATGTTTTGAATAGGTGGTCCGACTCTTCAGACACAGTCCGCCTATTTCATGTTGTAGTCGGTGTCGAAGCATTGGCCGACAAACTGGCCTAGTGTATAACTGGCATTACAGAGAAAACTGTTGCTCAACTTACCACAGCTGTTGTAGCTGAGGCAGTGGCAGAAGCAGAACTTGACAGGCTTTCGGGTGCAGTGGTAGGCCTTATCTGCAGCTGACACACACACGCACACACACACACACACACACACACACACACACACACACACACACACACAGACATGATGTGAGTGCATGCACACACAATAACGTCAACCCCTGTAGTCAGTCACACATCAATTTCCGTCAAGACAAGTTACAGAAAAGTTCAATACACTATGGTCCAGCCCACCATAATTATAAACCTGATTGCTGGCACAGATTACAGTTGTCGTCTGATTTCCTTATCTTCCACAACAAGTCCAGCATGTCCTCATGTTTGGGTTGGTGTCTGCTGTCTAAACTACTTCAGCCACTAGCATCCCTCACCAATCTATGGTGTACTGTGACTGCATCAAGGACTACCATCTCAGGCGCGTCGGAACGACTTTGGAGGTGGGGCGGCCACGGAAGGGGGTCGGGGGGTCCTCCCCCGGGGAAAAATTTCAAAAATTGAAGCCAATTGCAAGCATTTCCGGACATTTGGTGCCATTTCAGTGTACGGTAACTACAATGAAAGACTTTTTGATTCTGCAAAAAACCAAGAAGATGCTACGATCGGGGACAAACATTACCCTCCCCCGGGAAACAAATTCAAAAATTGAAGCCAATTGCAAGCATTCCCAGGCATTTGGTGCCATTTCAGTGTACATGGACTTTTGATTCTGCAACAAACCACGATCGGGGACAAGGATTTGCCACGTTTGCGCAGAGATCATCGCGCTTTGTTGCAGTGTGCTAAAAAAAAAAAACGGCCGAAAAAGTGGGGCGGCCAGGCCGGTGCGGTTCCGACACCCTTGCATCTAACGATAGGATTTATTGCAAAATTGAAAGTGTCCATCTGAGGCTGAAGAATGGAAAGCACCAGTAACATGGGTCACATGCTGTAACCAGTTTTTTTATCGCTGTAAAAGGAGTGTCCGGTTCAACATTTTCATTCAGGATGAACAGTCAATCTGATAAAGATATTCAGCTGATTCTGTTTATTGCAATCCCTAAATTGTTGGCACCTCACCGCCTTTTCAAATATTAACTAGCGTTTTATTTCTGGGATTTAAGATTCATACCTGATGGGTGGATGCAGACATCGTTGATAGCTGGCCAGAAACCGCCGAAATTTGGTCCGTCAACGTTGTCATCTGTCGGGAAGTCTGTTCGTCCGTATCACGTAGCTGGTCGGCGAGAGTTTGTACTCGGCGGTTTGTGGTGGTTTGTTCGTTGTGTATAGTGTATTGAGTAGCAGTCAGTTGTTGTTGCGTCATGGTCTGGTTTCCAGCAATGGCATCCAGATGTTCAGTAAGTCTTTGCATCGCTGAACTCTGTTCGTCTTGAATCGTGGACATTTGCTCCCGTGTATCAGTCAGTTGTTGCTGTGTGGCAATCAGTTGTTCTTGTGTCGCTGTCTGATTGTTGGTGATGACCGTAAGTTGTTGTTCTGTGGTGGTTTGGTGGTTGGTGATGACCGTAAGTTGTTGTTGTGTGGTGGTTTGGTTGTTGGTGATGGCTGCTGTAAGTTGTTGTTGAGTATCAGTCAGTTGTTGTTGCGTTGTTGTCAGTTGTTGTTGCGTTGATGTCAGTTGTTGTTGTGTGGTGGTTTGGTTGTTGGTAATGGCCGCTGTAAGCTGTTCCTCTAACGTATCACTCCTTGCCGACAATGCAGTGATGGACGTAGCTTGCTGAGTTAGCTGTTCGGAGATAGAGTCCAGTCGACGTACAACAGCTGGTGGAACATTGGAAAGATGAGGCTGTAATGAACACACAGGGTTGCGGCGACACAGCAACACCACACACAACATACCAACACGACAACACCATTCACACCACGCCATACCAATCCACCAACAGCATACAGAGGAAAATGCACACCGAAATATATTCAGTCAGGTTGTACGCATATGGAAGAAAAGCATAATGGATTACCAGTACCCCTCTAGCAGGAACATCATTTGAATTCCATAGAACCATTTTCTCGCTCAATGACAAGCCTAAAATGCCCTTTAAACAATTGAGTAATTCTAGGTGATAAACACGTATTAGCTGGCCAAGTCAAACTGGCATTTAGCTCAGAGCCAATAATATGACCGCATCACAATCTCGGGGTGACATCGCAATATCCTCAATCCGGAAGCGTCTTATGTCCGAATGCGTCTAATGTCATAAGACGCATTCGGAATAAGGATGTCGCGACGTCATCCCGAGATTATCTTCTATGGAATAGAGCAGGACATAAGGCCCACTCATTTTGATAATATTCTAATGAATGAACATTTCAGTCCTGCAATTCTCTCTAGAAGAGGAATACAGCATGCAATATTAGGCAAGTTATAACGCATACTTGCCATGTAGACTAGCATCAGATACACAGGTAAGTTATAACGCATACTTGCCATGTAGACAAGCACAAGATTCACAGGCAAGTTATAACGCATACTTGTATTTGCCGGGTAGACTAGCACCAGCTCCACAGGCAAGTTATGACGCATACCGTATTTTTCTGGTTGTAAGTCGACCTTTTACGACAATATAGAAGGAGAAAGGGTGGGGGTCGACTTACAAGCGGGATTCGACTTATAGCCGGGAACTATCAGTATCTTACAAAAAATTACATGCACTGCATGCACGAGTACACCATGTGTGCTCATTTTGGCCAGTTTATTGGCCTTTTTCAAGGATTTGAACGCTATGCCCTCCAATTCGGAATGTTTACATGATTTGTTGATGTGATAGTAGCAGAGAGTAGTTAGTAGTGCTTCGTCGGGGGATACCTTTAAAAATCAGAATTGAGTCCTCCGGATACGGGGGTCGACCTATAACCAGGGTCGACTTACAACTTATAACGCATACTTGCCGTGTAGATTAGCACCAGATAAACAAAACCTATCAGGCATACCAAGTGGGACATACGGGCCGCACGTCCGAAATCAAATTATTATTGGGCCATATTGGCTGACGGAACGGAATTTCCAGGCAGCCATAATCCTGGGAGCAGTGATATAAGGGTCCGCGATAAGGACACGTGCAAGCAAGTCATGACTGGCAGAACCAGACAGACTTGCGTGCCAGGCAGTGGGATACTGGGTCCAGCAGGAAAGCTAAATTCAAGCCAAGATTTGCGCTAGGTATGGCTGCATTTCCGTATGAGTACCCCATGCAGTGCACAAGACAAAAGGTACCCAGCATACAGCACAACCTACGGAAAGCATGGCGATATGACATCATACGCTGCACGTACGAATTATGCCGGAAAAAGTTTCCCCTCTCGGGACTACGTTCCCTGAATAATTGGAAGTGAGATAAAATCAGCAATATCTGCACTGCACTAGCAAGGGCACCCTCTGACACTGTGATGCCCACACTAAACATGAAGGCATGGCAGCAGCACAGAACACTAGCATGCAACACACAATCGGCTGCCTGCACTGTCGGTTCATTATTCACAGGAGATTATGTGTAACAGTCACGTCCCGCAAGGACACTACGTTGCTATAGACAGCAGACTATTGTGTAACACCCAGGTCCAGACAGGACATTACAAGAGGCGTTTTAGTCCGGCTTGAACACAGACTGATTGGCGCGTTTTACATAACGTATTCCGGTTGATAAGACTTGAAAATTCAACCCGGGTTGATTTCAACAATTCCCTACGGGGGGGGGGGGGGGGAGGTTTGAAAGCAAAAACTAGTACTACAATACTTCTGTGTGTATGTTGCTCCAGATTTCAACAGTACTGCATAGGTAAATGTTGTGTGAAAACATATCACGTGACCATCCTGGACTCTAGCCATGGACTTTCCGAGGCATATCAGTAACTGTCTTCATGTGAACATCCACCAATTTTCTTACATCGTACCGACTTTCAATCAGGGTTGAACCGGACAATGTTGAAAGTTTTCATGTAAACGCAGCCTAGGTTCTACAGTGTAGCTAAATGAAATCCAGTAGTGTCACTCAAGTTTGCGCCTTGCACTATTTCGCGGCCCAGTGTTCTCTGGTCTAGGATTGCGCAACGCCCTGCGCGTACTTGAGGGATGTGACTGGATTTCATTGAGCAGAACTGTAGTATCCAGGCAAGACACGGCATGCCCACACCAAGTATACATGACTTGCAGTGCAGTATCCAGGCAAGACATGGCATGCCCACACCAAGTATACATGACGTGCAGTGTAGTATCCAGGCAAGACATGGCATGCCCACACCAAGTATACATGACGTGCAGTGCAGTATCCAGGCAAGACACAGCATGCCCACACCAAGTATACATGACGTGCAGTGCAGTATCCAGGCAATACATGGCATGCCCACACCAAGTATACAGGACGTGCAGTGCAGGATAAGGACAGGTAGCCACACAACAAGTACATTTCCAGACTACAAGGTCTAGCAGAGGAGCAACAACTACCTCTCCCAACTTCACTGTCCTTACATAATACATTGATTTTTGTACTTGTAACGCAACAAAAATACAACCACACTCTCGTGTGTATTGACGTGGTTGTCTCAGGGATAGACGGGCAATTTGGAGAACCCAATTCGTGACCATTTTCACGATTTTTCGCACTTTCTGCGAACCCTGTTGGATTGCAACACAAGGTACAGCCTACAGGAGCTTGCGCTTGAGGCTTGCTGGAGCCTGGTCGCGGACTCAGTCAAACTACACCTACCTACAAAGAAATGCATCACAAGTGATTTCGCTTATCATCCACATACAATCAGGAACGCTTGGCCATCACTTCTTCATTACATCGCTAAATAGGCACTGTAGTCAGGCTCAAGAAGATACTTTGAAATGCAAAAATAGAAATCCTTTCAACAAACTACTTACCGACGAGAGACTGGTGAATAGCTGTAACACTCGCTTCATCTCCTCGTGTACTTCCTCGGCAGTCGCTCGCTCGCTCGGTTCGTTGGAGTGGCAGCGAATTGCCAGCGGCTTCAATGGGTGGTCATCAGGGAGTCGCCGTAGATAAGGAGCACGCCGTCTTGTCTCCGCCACCACCTGCGTCGTTTCCCGTCCACTGGCGGCGTCGCGCACGATCACAACGGACGGAGCATTGATCAGGTCGATCCCTGGCATAACACCAGTGATAACAGCCAGTAGCGTAACTCCGAACGAGAAGATATCCAGCGGACGATCATAGTCAGGTTGCTCTACCAGGGCCTCCGGCGGCATGAAGGCCAACGTTCCGGGGCAACGGGTCATGTCCATTCGAGCCGCCTGGACCTGTTGCTGCTGTTGACGAGGGGATGCCAAACGTACGAATTTCGCCATACCAAAATCGCATACCTTTGCGACGCCGTTCTTGATCATCACATTTTTCGGGGCGAGGTCCCGATGGAGTATACCACGAACGTGCAGGTATCTGATACCAGCCGACGTGTCGCAGAGGTAGCCGATCAGCATCAAGCCATCCTCCCGACCCTCACCGATACTCAACTTTTCCAACGTCGAAGTCAGCAACTCCAAAGCAAGAGCAGCGTTTTGCCCAACTCTGGCAATGCCCAGCAATTGGCACAGGTTCGGATGGTGAATACGACTGAGACGGAATACCTCTTGGCCGAAAGAACGGATTTTCCTCTCTCGGTCCTGAACACCGGGCTCAATCAAAATGGGATGCAGAACTTTCAGGGCGATATCTATTCCCTGCCACGTCAGCCGATACACGGCGGCATCGGAGCCACGACCAAGTTCATCTTCTTGCCTCACTCGTACGTCTCCCAAGAAGACAATATCCTGATTTGTCAGGCCCAATTCTCTCATCAATGGCAAAGCTTCCAGCTCCATGCCACTAGAAGAACATGAGCATTGTCTGCACTGAGTCAGCGACGCCAGAAAGCACAATGAACTTTGAGACGTGTTGAAGTGGGCAATGGTTTACAAACTTCGTAACTGATACTAGTAATTTAGTTGTTGCCGTCGATTGTAGTCATTATTGCGTATCCGCTAAACACAGACCTATCATGCCATAATTTGTACAGTGCTGGCAACTGAAATCCGACCCCCTTGCTCGGCGCGGTGCCCCTGCAAGGGGATCGGATTTCAGTTGCCAGCACTGTAGTACGAGTAGTAGTAGAGTTGATGACCGTATCGCGAAGTCCGTAATGCGAGGTCCTCGTGTTGTCCATTTCAATCTGCTTTGATTGCGACCATGGTTGAATCTCGTGACCAGGTGACAGCCTACAATAAGCTGTGCGGCTATGGCGAAATCTCGTGATAGGCTAGCCGGCTGTCATGCGAGCTCGATCTGCAGACTACACTCACTACCAGTACCAGGCCAGGGACTGGTTTACACGACTCCCTGCTCACTACAATTATTTTGCTCAGGAGTCCCCCTGATTCAGCCGGCACTAGTTGACGCTAACCCGCCACGTGCCACACGATGACCTTTATCTGAACTCTCTTTCAGTGGTCTGCAAACTCTAGTTCGTAACCGTGAGGATATGGGCGCTCACAGAAACTGACCGTCAGTCGGTCAGTCAAAGCCAAAGGGTCAGAATGGGCGCTTTCGATTACACGTTGACACAATTCTGGAACTGGGTTTTGTAATTCTCGAATGAGCAAAATGTACGAATTCCGGCCACGTAAACGAACGACTGGAATTCACAACGCATTTTATTCATGCCATATCACAAACAAAATTGGCCGTAAAAAGATATCACGTACACCATCACGCGCGCGTCGACCCAGCTTCGCGTACCGGTCCATTCCGGCGAAGGCTCCATGTCGGCAACAATATTGCCATTATTGGGCTTCGATAAAGCTGAACGCGTGTGCGAAAGGACCACCCAAACTGATCTGGTCTAATAATCAGCTGCCAGCGGAAACTCAACAGCGGCAATTAGCTTATCGGGAAGACAAAAGTAGCTACTACATGCAGTTGTAGCCCTGCTTTGGCGCCACACCGGCCACGGAGGCTCTTCCTTGACTTGAGTCATGCTGCATGACCAGACACGTAAACTTACCGGTCTGGTCACCGGGCCCTACCGGTAACACACGGAGTGTGCAATTCTGGCGCCAGAACTAGAGAAATTCCGTCCTCTTTTCAGAATTGGCGGATTTGACGGAATTGGATAAAATCAATTCTAGCGACGAAATTTGTCACTTTTTGTGTAATCGAACTGTGCATCAACAATAACCATGATAACTATTAACCGAAATGCGTGTAATCGAAAGCGCCCAATATACATGTACACGTTGATATTGATAAGGGTTACTGTATAACAGGAAAGTCTAACGAGTCAAAAAGTCTAACGTTTTAACGACCGATTTTTATTCGTTAGAAAGGGTTTGCTCCCCACACCGGAGCTCGCGCTATTCCGCCGACTTTACTTGACACTTGACTGACTCACGACTGCCATCCAGAGCACACGAGAAGTCCATCGAACCTTCGACTCGGCAAACCTGCAAGAAAGCACCACTCCCTGCTCAATACACAGTGTTTCGGGGAATTCACCCCACATCAGTTGAGCAGGGAGTGGTGCTTTCTTGCAGGTTTGCCGAGTCGAAGGTTCGATGGACTTCTCGTGTGCTCTGGATGGCAGTCGTGAGTCAGTCAAGTGTCAAGTAAAGTCGGCGGAATAGCGCGAGCTCCGGTGTGGGGAGCAAACCCTTTCTTACAAGTCATCGCCGAAGTCGCAACCACTACTTCGTAATTTTTATTCGTTATTTGAAAAAAAACTTTATCGCTAGAAGTCTGTGTAAAGATGCGCATACAGATCGGTGACCAGGTGTCAGGTAGCCATCGTTACACTTTCTGCACGTAATCATGCAAAAACTACAAAAACCGTTGAAAAACGTTAACCTTTTTGGTGGTTACACTTTCCTGGTTTTCAGTAGTCGCACCGATATTCGTCACGAATCTCTTGTAGGTTTAGTTTTAATGTAGGGCATGGAGATATTTTAGGGTTTGCCGAAAATCAGTCAAACCAATAAGATCAGCACTTGGAGAATTCCACCACCCTCAAGTATGGTGTCATAGATGCTGCAGGTCCCACTGGTACAGACACAACGAGTACACCACTGTGCACATGAACAACAAGGGGCAATGCTAGGCTGGTGAAATTCTTAGGTTCATGCTATGCTATCATCAGGCAACATGAGGGTGGTGATTTTGGCTACACCAGTATTTATAGGAAAAAAGGTTTTCGGAGCAGACTCGCTCTCTTCCCATTCACTCTGCAAACTTGAACTCATTTACCAATCAATTTTTTACACAACGTTTCGGCAAAATTGCCCTCATCAGGTATACAATGGTGCGCAAGTATGCAAAGGACGAGTTATATACATGTACATGTACATGCAATTTGTGATGCTATGAAGCAGGCTCCACCCACATGTATCAAAGAGCCCCACATTACTGAAGGCAGGAGACGAGGCCGTCCACTAGGTCCGTGTTTGACCTGTAAGTCTGGAGGTGAGTGAGTGTGATCTACCATTTTGCCATGCAAGTGGTGCCGCGAACACTACGTCGGAGAGACTGAGAGATCATTGGAAACTAGACTGACGGAGCATAATGGAGAAGCGCGCCGCCGTACCCGTGACAAGCCATGGGGTGAGCACGTGCGCACCAAGCATGCTCAGAAGAGACTGGCGCTAGCTAGCTGGGGGATTAGTCTATGGGCCAAGTGGCAAAAATGCGAATTTTCGTTCCGAGGAAGAGGGCACTGCAATTTTTTTTACCCAGTCGATAGATGGGATGGCATACATTGAAAAGCCACTTGTTGTCATTCCTGATTTTGTCCAAGGGTTGCACTGGGAGTAAAACTAAATTCAGCGCTGGTTGCTATGGTAACCGGAACCTAAAATGGACTTTCTGGCTAATTGTAATGGTTTTTTGGCAATATAACTTTCCAAGAGGGTCATGTAAATGTTTCCTTCCTGGACCTCCCTGGAAGGCCAAAAACATGATTTGAACTTGAAAAACTCAAAAATGAGCAAACTGCACCATACATGTACATGCACATGCACATACACTACATGTACGAGTGCAATACAGTCTGTCAATAGCATGAGACCGTACACAATAACTATTTTGAAGTATAAAGGAGTCATAGCACGCCTTTTCATCAGAACATGACTGGCTGCAGCATGAAGCAGCCACTTTCTGATCACTTTGTCCGATCTAAGAATATCTCAGACGGATCCATGCAACGTACAGAATATTCAGAATATGCCGGCGCATTGTGTATTGTATATTGGTTGCAGACTGTCCACAGAAAGAAACACAACACTGAACGTCTGCACAAGTCGCTGCAAACCAGATAGACAACCCATAAAGAATGATTAACAACACAAAAACATGACAGTCTGGACATACATGTACATGTACTGCTAATAAACATACACTGACAGAGCAGAGTTGAAAGACCGTGTGATACAAGAAGACCATGCCGACCGTTGTGGCTATTAATGCGACAGACTTCATCATCATAACACTGGCTTATGACATCTCCTTCAGAACACCAATGTGTGGCATCATCCAGATGAAATGAAGCAGTTTAGAGTGATGGTGAACATTGTGTGCGGATGAAGGCGCGTCGCTGGCATAGGTCATGGGGGCACGTGCACCTCCCTAAAAACTTCGACCTTGGTTCAGCATGCACCGTTATGACCATGAAAGACATGGACCAGCCAGCCTACACATACATTGAATGCGGCCATGCATCCCCTAAAAGGAGGACCAGCTATGCCCCTGAATCCTGTCCACATAATTGGTTGCAGGGAAAGCAGGTGGAACGGATCACGAGAGTAGGATAAAAACTTGGAAGACACTGGTAGGTACATTGTACAACAGTTGAGCGCTTTCGCCTTGATGGACTGAAGGCTGACACAGCTGCAGGAGACACTGCTGAGTTGTGAACATGTGCACGTTGAGATGGCTGCACAAGTATGCCATTTGAACAGAGGGTTGTGACTTATCCGAGCAATGTCTCTTTGCAGAGATCATTGCCGATCACGACTCCCATGGGAAGAGACGCTGCAGTTGCTTGCTGATTATTGGCTTGGCATCCAGCCAACGCAGTTTTGAGCTCTAAACCTGTATGCATGCAGCACCTGCGTTCTTCCGGTATGATTGCTGCCGTTTCACCTTTCCCCAAATGTGCAGCTCCGTTCGTGCTGGGAGCCAACCGTTGAACGTAACGACGGGAGCAGCTAGAGAAGAGCGTGTGCGGGGGCGACGCGAAAGCCTCCATTTCCAGGCGAAACATCACTTCCCGGCACAAGGCTCCTTGCGCTCAGCTTTTAAAATTATCTACCGAAACAGCTTCATTTGTTCCAAATTATTTCACGCAATTTTCCACATCAGTATCTGGGTGAAGGGCTCCAACTCCTTATCGCGACGCTTTATTGCTACTTGCCCACAGACTTGCAAAGATTCACTTCAAATTAAATCATGATTACCTCAAGGTGTACAGACAGACAGTAGCCCAGTACACACCAATGTCAGAGCTACACAGTTTGCAATAATGGAGAAACGGAAAGCAAGAAACAATCCAGAAATGGAAGGACGTGGAGATGGCTCAACATAATCATTGCAACAAACTGGGTGACCTGTCCTATCAGTGTTGGTGTCACGCGATCAGTTCACAGTGCAAGCTACACTCGATGCGTGCACTGCACGGCACATCGATCTATGCAGGAGTGCATGCACTTACGCCTACCTACAGACATGAATGCATACAAAACAATGGTCGCCGAGAGAGAAATTCTTAACATGGAAAAGGCGCTCGTTGGATACCTTTCAGAAAGTTGTCAGAGTGACAACAACCGGAATCCTGGTCAGTAAGTTATCTAGAGTAGACGTGGCCAATCAAATTGCGGTGCCCAAAAGTCGGAACGAGATTTTTCTAGGAGGCCTTTTTTCGGGTTTGGCCCA